ATTAAAAGATACTCAACCTCATTATTAACCAGAGAACTAAAAATTACAACAATAAAAGTCCATTGCAGCCATCATATTGGTAAAAATTTTAAAGTCGGATCTAACAAAATGTTTATTACTTGGTCATTAAAATATCACATGCTCTCTCCTATAATCTGCACTGGATCGAATAAAAAATCTAAATAGCAAAGAGTAAAAATACTGCTTTCAGAATGCAGAGGTAAATTAATCAGTTTATATGATTTCGTTATCAAGAAGAAATGATAAAGTGTTAAACCAACTGTCCAATTAAGAAAGTTAGAGAAAAGATCAAACAAAGAGGAAAACAGAAAAAAGAAAATAATGAAAAATAATGCACAATCTAGTAATTGCCACATAAACAAAACTGATAAATAAATCCAAAGATAGTTGGAAGGAGAGGGGAAAACCAATAATAAAATAATAAAATTAAATAAAAATCTGATCAACATAAAAAAGAAAAACTCAAAAAAATAAAATAAGGAATGAAAGAAAAGCTGTATCTGAATCCTTTTTAATCCTAATGAGGTAAACTGGTTTCTTGGAAAATAAACATTGCCAAAACAGACTTAAGAAGTATTAATATTACAAGCAAGAACAAACCAAATGAATGTTATTAAAGAACTATTTCCAAAAATAGTTCTAGGGCCAATGAATGCTACTGAAAAGTGCAATCAGATGTTCACAGACATAGTCTTTTCCATGCTATATAAACTGTTCAAGGACCGAAATGCTATCCAACCCATTTGAGACAATTAGCAATAATCCTGATATAAAATAAACATAGCAAAGTTCATTAAAATAAAGATGAATCTCAGATTATTGAAGGTGCATTATTAATCAGATGTGTCTATTCTGTTGGAAAAGAATAAATTTGTTGAGTTAACAGAAATGTAAATGCATAAAGTTGAGCACATTCACAGGAATATGTATAAGCCATCAAGACCTTGTGATGAAAAGTCAAAATTAGGAGAGGAAATAAATCAAATATTTACATTCTTACAACTATAAAATGAAGTGAGCACAAAGCACAGAAAGACTTCACTAAATGAGGCTAAGAAAGTTTGAAAGGGCAATAACAAATGCTGGCAAAGATGTGGAGAAAAGGGAACCCTCAGACACTGTTGGTGAAACTGTAAATTAGTAAGGAAGTTCCTGAAAAATTAAAAGCAGAGCTACCACAAGAGCCAGCAATCCCACTCCTAGGTACATACTCTAAAGAAAGGAAATCAGTATATTGAAGAGATATCTGCACTCCCATGTTTATTGCATCACTATTCAAGCCAAGATGTGGAATAGCAATAGCCAAGATGTGGAAGCAACCTAAATGTTCAGCAGCAGATGAATGGATAAAGAAAATGTGGTAGACATTTCACAGAGTGCTATTCTGCCATAAAAAAGAATGAGAGCTTGCATTTTGTAACAACATGGATGAAAATGAAGGTCATTGTGTTAAGTAATCCAGGTAAAGAAAGACAAACTTTGCATATTCTCACTTATTTGTGGGAGCTAAAAATCAAAGAAATTGAGGCTAGGCACAGTGGTTCACACTTGTAATCCCAGCACTTTGGAAGCTCAAGGCAAGTGGATCAGTTGAGCCCAGGAGCTCGAGACATACATGAGAAACAATGAGAGCCTGTCTCTAATTTTAAATAAATAAATAACTCAAACAAACAACTGAACTTATGGAGAAAGAAAATAGAAGGATGGTTACTAGAGGCTGTGAAGGGTAGTGGGGGCAGGTGGGGCAGAGAGTGGGGATAGTTAATGCATACAAGAAATAGAAAGAATGAATAAGACCTAGTATTTGCTAGTACAACAGGGTGACTGTAGTACAAAATAATTTAATCGTACATTTTAAAATAATTCAGAGTACAATTGCCTTGTTTGTAACACAAAGGATGAATGCTTCAGTGTTATATATACCCTATTTACTCTGATGTGATTATTACACATTACGTGCCTATATCAAAATATCTCATGTAACCCATAAATACATACACAACTACGATGTACTCACAAAAATTTTTTTTTTAATTTTTAAGAGGTTGAAACACATTTGTATCACTCCTAGGGCCCTTCAGTAGCCTCCTATACCAAGTTGATGATAATATCACTAGAGAAACACCATACGCAAACAAAATTCAGTGGTAAATGACAGATGGAGTCACATGGGTTCAAACTGTTTTGAATCACTCTCTGAGGCTATCACTGTGATGGTACCCACTCATAAGGGCTTTTAGTAGAACAGAGTTTATAGACAACTATCACACTGGTTAAAGCCAGTAGATCACATGTAATACATAAACAAAAAATTGGTGATGAAATGTTACACCAATTATGAAATTGTGCATAGGCTTTAGAGGGTGTGAGGAAGGGGAAATACGTGAGAGAAAGATTCACAGAGGAAGTAATATTTGCACAGAATCTGCTTCCGCTCATCTGCTTTAATTTCACCTCAGGGCTGTTCTGTCTTTAACCTTCAAATCCTAGTTTTGTTTGGTTGGTTATTAGTATGCTGTTTGGTTGATTATTTAAAGAAGGCATTATGATTTGCTTACTATTTCCCAGTGCCAATACATTTCTGTAGAAATGAATTTTTTTTTCCAGGTTTCACTTTAACAGAATACTCTTAACTATTCTGTACAAATTGAAAACACTGTATTGAGTTACAAATGTGTTCTAAGTTTAGGCTGTGCGGACACGGCCATCTACGACTGCCGGAGAGCGCCATCACCCACTGGAAACCCCACCCGCCAGCCGCCAACAGGTCACACCGAAGCCAGGACCCTCAGACAGGATGAATGGTGGGGCCCAGCAAGGGGGCTCCTGAGAAAGCAGGACTTGACGCTCATACGGTCAACTGAAACCCAGGGCTCATTTCTAGGGCTCATTTTTGTGAGCATTGCGCTTACAAGAAAGAGAAAAATGTATCTTCTTAGGACTGATTCTTACAAATTTGATACAGCTATAATTTATAACTTACATGGCCAAGCCCTGCTAGAAGTATCTTACAAAGGGTTTGACACAAAAGCTTGACCAAGCTGTGAAAAATCTCTCAAAGTAGTTAATACACTTCTTGACACTATTACTGGAAACTTGATAAACTAAGAAGAGAAAAATCTCTCAAAGTTGTTAGTACACTTCTTAAGTATTACTGGAAACTTGATAAACTAAGAAGAGAATTTTGACCAGGTATCACAAGAAATTTGTATTGGAGACTTCTAAGAATAAGCGTGTACTACCTCACACAGTCAGCTACAAGAAGGTGTCAGGACATTAGTGCTATTTTCTTAACATCTTGTTGATTAATAATTCTTCCCTTTGCACACAAGGTAGAAAATTTTACCAAGTAAAGATTTTAGACTTGCTTTAGTTTAATTCATCTCGCATTCCTTCATTTCTATCCTCCCTCTCATATATTTCCTTCTCAGGTCTGATTCCCTAAATGTGGAGCTTCAACCCCCAGAGGATTTTTTTTTTTTTTAAGAGACAGAGTCTTGCTTTGTTGCCCAGGCTAGAGTGCAGTGGCATGATCTAGGCTCACTGCAACCTCTGCCTCCCGGGTTCAAGCGATTATCCTGCCTCAGCTTCCTGAGTAGCTGGGATTACAGACACCAACAACCGCACCCAGCTAATTTTTGTATTTTTAGTAGAGACGGGGATTTCACCATCTTAGCCAGGCTGCTCTTGAACTCCTGACCTCATAATCCACCCTCCTAGGCTTCCCAAAGTACTGGGATTACAGGCATGAGACACCGTGCCAGACCCCCAGAGAATAATTAACCTTGTCTCCTCCACCATACTGCTGCATTCCCTGACACTTCTCTTTCCCTCTCTTGCCATCCGCCTGAGGAGATGAGAGCAGTACACAGAAAGTAGCTCCCAGCTGTAGCTCAACCGTTAAACACCAAGAGAAAGGAAAATGAACTCTGCCAGACTTAGATCAATTAGAAGATTCCTTTGAAACCTAAACACATTTTTAATTTTCACAGCCCTCTTCCCTACTCAAGATGACATCAACCTCATATTAGTTTTACCTTGTATGCATTTCTCAATAGTAAAACCATTAGTCAGTAGCATCTGAATGTACATTGACACAGTGGGTGTTTTGTAGTAATTATAAGGTAATTACTTCCTATCCTTAAATAAGTGTCATTTTCACGAACAAAATAGGATAAACAACAATACAGTGTACATAAAACAACTACCATCTGCCCAAGAGACACCAGAACAGCCTGTTAATCAAAGAAAGCTAAATTTACTAAATCTACTACAGTAAGGGAGGCCACACTTTGATGGAAGCTTGGCAGTCTTAGAAAGAGAAGGATGGGGTGATATTTATAGGATTTGGGGAGTCTCAGCAAAAATGGTTTAAAACAGGTCTTTTGAGGCACGGAACTGTTTGAGAGGATTAGGTAAAGTGTTTGACCTACTAGTTAAGGGTCAGTGACAGAGTAATCAACTTTTCCTTATTTCCTAGGACTTTCCCAAGTTTAGCACTAAAAATCCTCCAAGTGGAGAATCCTTACAGTCCTGGGCAAACTAGGACCATTGGTCCCCCTAATTAGTGGGCACACCGTTGCAAGATTGCCGGATAATTTGAGCAGCAATACCAGATGCAACTGACAAAACATAGCAGCCCATCTTCCCAAGGCTGAACACAAAGTTTATTGACGCATTCCCATTTCCAGCCTCTATTTGACAAAATACTGCATGCCTATGTGCGTTCAACCCACATCCTAGTAATAAAACTTAATTTAAAAAATATTTGTATTGCGGTAATGTATATAAAACATGCATTAGACATTTTAACTACTTCTATGCATACAAGTGAGTGGCATTAATTACATTCACAATGATGAGCGACCATCACTTAATTTTTTTAAAGGACGTTTATATTCACTCATCTGTCAATGTAGTAGGCCCTGTCCTAGGCGCTAGGAATTCCATGTTTAGCAAAAAACGTCACGAACAACAACATGCCTTCACATGGCCTTCATGGACCACCGCAGGTGCTCTTTTTCCCCCGAGTCTTTATGTACTTGGGAAAAGTGGCCAAGGTTGAAAGATGCAATGGGTACACGACGATGTCAGAGAGGTTCCCACCCAGCCCCGCGTCTAGAGGCAGTGCGGTGCAGGGACCGTTCCACAACTCCCATTCCAGAGTCGGAGGTGGGCAGGCCCTCCGCCCCGCTTAGGAGGTGCGACTGGCGGGGGCGGGGCCTGGGCAGAGGCAGTGGGCGTTCCCGGGGCGGGGCTGTGCCGGGGGTGGGGCGGCAAAGCCGCGGATGGGGACTGACCTGGGCCTGCGCCGGACGCCACCGGGGCCGCTGTCGCGGTCGCGGCCTGGTGCTGCAGTTTCTCTTTCCTTCCGCTCTATGGCGGTGGCGGCCTGACTAGGAGCCGGAGTGGGATGCGGCTGACGCGGAAGCGGCTCTGCTCGTTTCTTATCGCTCTGTACTGCCTCTTCTCCCTCTACGCTGCCTACCACGTCTTCTTTGGGCGCCGCCGCCAGGCCCCGGCCGGGTCCCCGCGGGGCCTCAGGAAGGGGGCGGCCCCCGCAAGGGAGAGGCACGGTCGAGGTAGGACGTTGGCGGCAGCTTACCTAGCGCGCTGGCTCGGCAGGTCCAGGGCCGGGGTTGGTCGGAGCGAGCCGCGCAGCCGCGGACTCTGCTCTCAGGTCCGGGATTACCTGCCGGGCCTGAGACCCGCCCTGTCCCCCAAAGCCTCTCGAGCCAGCCCTGGGGTGGGGATTGAAGAATGGTCTTTATTCTTACCCGCATCTCAAAGGCCGTCCCCGCTCCCCATCCCAGGGGGTGACAGGCGCGCAAGCCTTTCGAACACGTGTTAAAATCCAAGACGTCTCAAATGCCAGAGATTTGCGGGAATACTGGAAGGCCCCAAATCGCTGCAAGGTTTAAGACATCCGTTTCCATGTTGAAACAGAGCCTTCTCTAATTCTGCAGTGACCATAAGGCAGGCTTTACCTCCAAATTCTGGTCCCCTGTCCTGTGTTTTAACTTGTGTTAGGATCAGACTCAGCTTCTCTCTCCATTAGGAGTTTTGCACAATAGTATTTAAGACTGGTGGACACTACACTCTGAATTCAGGTTTTTTTATGCACAGGTTACCTGTATACAATGGATAAATAATTGCAAGCAAGCCTGTAACTTGATACATATTATCCATTTTTTTTTAATCTGGTTTTTGAAGGTTTTGTTTTTGTGAAGAGAATTTTCCTGTCTCAAGTTAGCATTTTATTTCTAAGACCTTGCAGAGTAAAAAAGTTAAGTAAAAAATTGCTGATTTTCTTTTTTAATTGTGTGAGTATAACCAGTTTAAATTCAGTTGCTCTATCTCTGAAAAATTAAAGTTAGGATGAAATTAGAACTAACACTTAATGTAAATGATTTGAATTTATCTACAACTGTAATAATACCTTACTGGTAAACACTGTTACTCTTTTTAAAACAGAACAGTCCACTTTGGGAAGTGAAGAATGGAATCCTTGGGAAGGAGATGAAAAAAATGAGCAACAACACAGATTTAAAACTAGCCTTCAAATATTAAATAAATCCACGAAAGGAAAAACAGACCTCAATGTACAAATCTGGGGCAAAGCTGCCATTGGTAAGTTAATATGTAGAAGGAAGACATGTAAAACGCATTGTAAAATGTACTTTATTGATATGAAATTATTTTAATAATTTATCTCATAATTTGTTAATTAAGGCATATTTTTTTCTCACTTTTTGTCAATAATGCCTTTCTCCTTTCAAGTAGACAACATCTGTTTGCAAATGTACACCCATACATATTCCACTGTTGGTCTTTAGCAGAGCATAGCTTCATTTATCAATACAGTGAGTAGGCTGTATAGTGTCATTAGATTGCAATATATATGCAAACTGAATTTTCATGACTCTGAATTTTTTTGGACCCTTGATACACAAGTACAAGATGCGGCCTCTGCCCTTGATGGCCAAAGACATTTGGGAAGCACTGAAGAGAACAAAGCTAAACAGTGTTCTTCATTGCAGGCCTATCTCAAGAGCCTTTAATATGACAGTGTTCATTGTATTAATATAGTATGTAGTTGATTAAACTTGATTGCCCACAGAAGCATTTTTGCTGTGAATATCATGAGAGTGTAGTGTTCTAAGGTATATATTATGCTCAATTAGAGAATGGGGCTATGAGGGTTAGAAGAGTCACAAAGAATTTAGTGACTTAGCAAGCGCTTTATTTAGCCTTTGAACATGAGTTGGGTTTATGTACAATAAGGGATATGGATGGAAAGTGCCAGATGAGACGAAAATGTACAGAGCATAGTGCTCTGCTCATGGTATTTCATAAATTCGTTCAAACTTACATACACATGTACATCCTTGAAAATTACCACCAACCTCTAAATTTCAAGTACCTGAACTCAGGCCTTCAGCCATCAAGTTCTAACAATTTTTTTAAAATAAAGTCTCTAATATTAATTTTTTCTTTTAAATCTCAGATTTTTATTTCCAGACTTCTCTCTTTTCAATCTGATAAGTGCAAAGTGGTCAAGTGAATTTCATCAAATGCTACCTTTTTTTTTTAACACCTCTTCTGCAGGAATTAGGTATGAAAAAGAAAAAGAAAACACCTCTGCTGGCAGGAAAAATGTTACTTTCATCAGCCTATTCTCTAGGCACAGTTATAAAATACCAGTTATAGACATTCCCATTCAAAAAGGGGGAAAAAATGGAAGTAAAAAAGTATCACTCGTCCGAGCAATTTTGAAATCTAAATTCCATCTAAATGGCCAGCTCCATTAGATGATATTTCAGGCCTAGGAATAATCTGTGGCTTGTACAGCTTTGCCCTCTGGCATTTCAGCTACACTCCTGAAGTCATCTTTCCTTCTTCATAAAAAGTAGCACAAGTTTGCAGCTTAGTAATTTTATCAGCCTGTTGCCAGCTGGTAAAATTTTCAGAGCCCATCAGCCACCTTTCATTGTGACCTCTCTCTGTCTTTTTTAGTCCAAGCTGGCAGTGTTTCTGCTCATATAACATTCTGAAGAACCTTGTGGGCCTCCTGTGTATGTCACAGGATTCACTCCATTAGATGGGAAGCTCTTCTACAGATCATTTCTAAGTAATCCCATCTTCATTCCTGGCTTCTGCTGAGATGCCTGAGGAAACCTGTAAGTCACATGTATAATCTCTTCAAAGAGATCTCTGTGTGAATGAATATTCAGATCTTCTGATCCTTCTGAGACACTAGCAAAAGGTTGTGCAGCCACATCCTTGGTCTTCCTTCTGGAACACCCTTTCCTGACAGTAAATCCAATTTTTCACTTGTTTTGCAATCTTAATGGTCCAAGAAGTTTCCAGATCATCAAAATCTGATTCCCTTTTGCCTAACAAATTTTTCCTTCAATCTCTTTCTTACATTTCACTAATCAGCAAGAAGAAACCAGTCCATACCTTTCACTTTGCTTGGAACCCTCCAGCTAGTTACTGAAGTTTATCACAAGTTCTGCTTTCCACATAACTGCAGGATACAATCCAGCTAAGCGTGTTATTATTATATAACAAGGATCCTCATCCTTCCAGTTTCTAATAACACATTTCTGATTTTCTTCTGAGCCCTGAGCAGCATTTCTTTAATTTGTATATTCTAGGTATGGTTTCTCACGCCTGTAATCCCAGCACTTTGGGAGGCCAAGGCAGGTGGATCACTTGAGGCCAGGAGTTCAAGACCAGCCTGGCCATCATGGTGAAACCCAGTCTCTACCAAAAATACAAAAATTAGCCGAGCATTGTGGTGCGTGCCTGTAATCCCAGCTACTCGGGAGGCTGAGGCAGGTGAATCGCGTGAACCCGGGAGGTAGAAGTTGCAGTGAGCCAAGATCATGCCACTGCATTACAGCCCGGATGACAGAGCAAGACTGTCTCAAAAAAAAAAAAAAAAAAGCATATTCTTACCAACAATCTGCTTATGATCATTTAGATATCCTCTAAGACAAAGGTTTTCTCTACTTTGCCTTACTTTCTTGTGTCTTCACTAGCTGAGTCATTAAACTCCATATTTCTATCTGCAGTTTATTCAAGGCAGTCTAATCTAGGCTTTTAAAAATCATGTCCTCACAGTTCTCCCAGCCTTTCCCCATTACCCAATTTCAGAGTCATATCCGCATTTTTAAGTATTTGTTACAGTAGCACCCCATTTTCAGGTACCCTAATCTTAACTGCGTAATCCACAGCATCCTATTGCAGCCATAACAAATTTCCACAAATTTAGTATCCTACCTTTCTGAAGGCAGAACTCTAAAATGTGAGGGGGCTGTGTTACTTTTAGAGGCTCTAGAGAAGAACCTGTTTCCTTTCCATTTAGAGTTTCCAGGGGCTACCCGTATTCCTTCACTTATAGCCCCACATCACTCTGACCTCTGCTTCCATCTTTACATATCCCTTTCCTCATTCTGACCCTCCTGCCTCCCTTGTGTGAGGACTCTTGAGATTACATAGGGCCCACCCAGATAATCCACGATAATCTCTTCACCTCAGCATCTTTAACTTAATCATATTTTAAAGTGTTTTGCCATTCAAGGTAACATATTCATAGATTCTAGAGATTAGAATATGGACATCTTTGCTGATTGGACAGGGAGAATTATTTAACCAATCACATTTGGAAAGCTTTATCTAATTGGCCACATTTTAAATGGTGATTTGGGTTTCCTTTAGTACCAGGGTACAATGTGAGTGGAACAAAATACATCTCTGAGTGTAACCAAAACAGGGTTCCCTGAGGTGTTGTATGGTCTCCATATTGCCTCACTGCTCTCTTCTACCCTTAGAGCTTTCATTCAGGTGAAATCATGATAAAACAGGGGCTGCCATAAAGACAAAGATGTTGTGGCATTTGTCTGTGAAGGGGATCATGCATTCAGAGATACATGTTCAAGTGAGGAGGAGGTAATATCCCCTTGACATATTAATATATGTAAATACCTGAGCTCCTCTGGCTCCATTTGGCACAAAATGGCAACTCCCCCTAAGTTATAAAAATAGTTATAATCATACAGTAGTTTACTTTGTAATATAATACATTTCATTTCAGAATAAGACAGGTAGTAAACA